CGATATTTTCACTTTTGAAAATATCTGAATTTGTAGTAAGGCTAATAACCATATTTTTTCACTTTGTAGGTCTGCGGTAGTCATATTACTACAAGTGTTATTAGTGTCATAAAAATCACAGTACTTACAAATACCTGTTATGCTCTTTTGCAAGGAACTTAATTTTTTTACAAAGCTATAAGTTAATATAGCTTAACTGTTTAAATAGCTATCATAGTACTTGTTTTAAATTCTTATGAGGTCAATATGCCATACAGCAAAGAAAAAACTGCAAACAGAAACGAAGAAAAAGAAGAAAGCACATGAAAAGGTACACCTTCATAAATTTGCTTCACATTTATGCATAAATGTTGATCCAGTATTTTTTAAGTAAGAATGATTTCAAATTTCTATGGCAGTATTAATTGGGTTTAACGAATAAATTTTTTTCTTTTACTCAATGGTCGTCATAACACAGAAGGAGACTCAGCAGACTTACCCAGGCAGAAGGAAAAAGCAAATCAAAGTAAAAAGCAGCAAAAAGTGCCAATTTTAACATGTAAGTTTTTAGAGGACTGAATTAGTATTCACTTAATTATAAAATGTCTACCCTAAGACCTGCATGAATATTTTGTCATCCTTAGATTAAAAACAGACTTATAAAAATATATGGAAATACAGGAGCTAATGCCTTCTAACCATTTAATTATTAGAAGATGAAGTATTCTTAAGCCATTTGTTTCACTGAATTATGAAGTCATTTGAACTGAGGTTTATCTGAACATTAATATTAAGCAAATACAAAGACTGTAGACAAAATAGAAGATTTAGAGATGCAATGATACAGTACAAAATTCAATGGTAGGAACAAACAGTGAACTGTAAAATGATTTGCTGCAAATTACAAAACACACTGCAAGCTAATGGGGTCTTGATGAACTAACTTGATTATTTCACAGGCATATTTGCAGGCATAAACATAATTCCGCTTTTCTTTTGAGTTCACCTTTTTAATTGAGATGGAGCAGCTTAGGTTTAAGCCAACAATTTTCCATTACATAATACTCACAAAAGCTGTTATAAAGATGCTTGAAAATCCCTACAAACGGGCTATTTTTTGAAGAATGTCTAACGCTAATCTCTGCATTTCTGTAAATTAAGACAACTTCCTACTCTAGATTTAGAGCACCTATCCATACCATAGAAAAGGTTCTTTGAGTTTCAAAGACATATTTTATTACCACTAAATACCTACAGGGGCGCTCTAGCAAAATAATAACAATTTAAATATAGTCATAGACTAGGTTATGCCTGGACAGAGGACCATCTTAACAGTAAGATCTTCAAGGGCAGGAGAAAATATGGCAGCACGGTCCTCAACATCAGAAAACAGTGTAGTGTATTATATAACCCCAGGCTGAAAGATGTGTAACACTGTTCTTGAAGGCAAGTCTTCATCATTCAGTCATTTCCCCCCAAATATTTTAACACTGAGGAAGGACATGTTTCTTCCTACCTGATGGTGGAGCGCTTGCATACATTTACACTGCTATATAGAACACGCCAACTAGATGCTATGGAGTTCAAGAGGAAAAATCCACAGCAAATACTTCACCTGAAACATCCCTGGCAGCTATTATTTGATGGATAATAAAAAAGTAATTGTAACACACAAACAGGTTATAGCTGGGTTCCCTAGGGGACTATCCTTTGCAAGCTATCCGCAGAGATGTTTTTAATGAAAAAACAAGAGACAGCATTCATCCTGCACAGATGCTCTATTTTCTAAGCAGTCTAAAGCCCCAAATATTTTTTATAACTGCCCGCGGTCTTCAGTGTAATTTGTATGCAAAGAATGAACTTTCCATGTGATATGGACCATAAAGATCTCATCACATTCACTAATTCAGAGTGACCTCAATGCCTTTCTGTAATTATTCACTCACAATAAAATAGTTTTGCTGGCTCCAGCTCCACAAAAATCAGTGCTTCCCTAACAGACACTCCCTCTTCCTAACCTCTGCCATTGGGCACATAACAACCATTATGCTAATCTATTCTGGGCTCTGTTAGTCAGCTGGTAGCAGGCTACAGCACTGGCGAATTTCATTTTTACTGTGGAAATCCTTGCTTCCACCTTTCAAAGGCATTTTTTTTTCTCCTGCTTTCTGCACAATATTGAAAGGTTGATGTGGATGCGAGTGCTTAAGTTTTTAGTTAAAATGGATGAAAGACTCAAAATCAAGCTTGTTTACAAAGTAAATGTATCCCTTAGGAGCTGCTAAGAAAAAAATATTCTTCTGGGACCTGATTTCATAATGTTTTTCTTTGGCCTATGCATTCAATGCAGACTGAAGAGCGCTGTTGACAGGACATAGAAGCAAAATGGATGAATCTTCCACCTAACATACAAATCCACCTTCTGGAACGCTAAGTGGAAAAGAGGCATTCTTCTAGCATGAAATCCAGTGCATACCAGTAAGGACAGTAAGATAAATATATTTTTTCCCAACAGCCTAATAAGTTCTTAAAATTTTAGTATTACAGAGTATCTGGTCTCCTGGTTCAAATTTTCTACTTTCAAACTTTTTAAATTCTGTGTCTCAGAATTTAAATGTCTTCTTTATTTTCAAGCTTCTAAATCAGGCATACACTGAATTTTCATTTAAAAAAAAGAAAGAAAGAAAAAAGTATCTTTGCTTCTTTCTAGCCTTCAAACCACAGTAGTATTCATATAAAGAAACAAGCTTTATAAGAATTTGGTTGTTTTCTGTTCCTAGCCAATACCAAATATGTTGTGATGTTGACAGCTGCAAAGCACAAAATATTTACAAGTGAAATACAATTTTTTCTACTAACAGTTAACTTGTATAAAGTACAAGAGAACATGAATACTCTCTAAAACTACAAATAAAAGCTTTCTTAACGTAACTATTAAGTATACTGACAGCTGATGGAATCTTTTCTCTCCCCTTTCCAGGAATTTTGTCTAGGAAGTTCTACATCAAATGCTTCAAGGAAAAGACTTCATGTAATAGCTCCAGGATTCAGGACTTCTGTGTTGTCATGCTTCTGACTTTTCAACAAGAAAGGTATTTGTAAGAAAAAGATAATCATGAAAAAACAAAATCGAACCCTCCAATGCTGATACCGATATAAATTTTACACTTCTCTGTGAATGTTAATGCTGGTAGTAGCATACTTTCTATCTCAGGATATGCAAGTCTGATAAAAATAAGGAATGAGTGTTGTCCACATGGTTTGTTTTCAAAATCACTAATATAAAGATGCTGGAGACTAAAAAATATCTCAAGTGAGTTAGAAAGCGGTGCTGACTTTATAATGATAACAAAGGACGTATTTTGTGAATTACAATTTCGCCTTTTCAGTTTGTTTATTCAATAATTTTTCTGCTGCTAAGTACCAGCTGGTCATAGTGAACTGGAACATAATGTTGCCAAACATTTACCATTATACCATTTAATGTTGCCAAACATTTACCATTAATATTTACCATTCCTGAACCAACACTAGAGAACAAGGTAAAAAAATAACATGCACGTAATCTTCCAAACCTGTGGATGCTACAGCTGCAGCTGACAGCAGTAAGGCTGAGGCTAATAAGAATAACCCTTATCTGGGAACATCACTTGTATTAGCTCCTCCCCCAAGTATCTGCTTCTGTAGAACCTCTTTGTGCTTGCAAGCAGTATGGGAAGTACATTGGCTCTGAATACACGTAAAGCACATACTCAGTATATGACTAATGCAGCAAGTCAAAATGCTTTTATTTTTATATATAGGCAGATATACAATATACCTAAACATATAGATATACAAATGTATATGCCTCACTTATCTAGAAACCAGATACACTCTACAGTCCAACTCAAGGACCGTGGAATGTACGGAGCAACTACGTTCTTCAGATGAGGATCCCAAAAACAGAGATTTAGTATACTAAAATGTGCTCCTCTGGCAGAATCTTATGTTTTCCAGGCCTCAAACAAGTCTCAGCAGTGGCTGTCCTTTAGCTGTGTACTGCTCACACATCTTCCCTAATCCGAGAGCTGGACCTTGGCCAACATATGACACTGGACTTACCTATTGGAGCACACATTGACTCAAGATAGAATAAGTTTTATCTGATGGGCTAGGCACCACTTGCTCAAGCAGTGAAGTAGACAAGGCCATGCCTGGTTCTTTGGCTAATTAGTTCATCTTACGAAAGTTGCTTTATTGTCTTGCAAGTACCATTTCCAGTGGTTGAGTATACTACAGCATAAGCATGCATATGGGCACACAGTCCCTCCTAGTAACTGGAAAGAGGGTACCTGCAACATTTATAGATGCATCACTGTCATATTCTTTTTTTTTTTTTTTTTTTAAAGTCAAGAAGGTTCTCTTCCTCTCTTTACCTCACTTTTCCTTTCAGATAATCTCCATGCTTAATTAAACTATGACCAAAAGACAGTATCTGGAAAATAAAAAATGAGCCCACTTGATGCAACAAAATCAGGATTTTTAGTGTGCATTGCCATCTGCATGTTCATCTACACTTTTATCTATCTAAAGAACACACTTTCTGAAGAGCCACATGAACAAAAATTTACTGCAGATACAGCAGAGTGTGGCTTTTACCCAGATGAACTTTGTTCAGCTCTTTTTGTGGGGAAAAATGTTGCCTCTCAAATTGGAAACTTTTGTCAGAACACCTACCAACCGGAAACACTCAGCTGCATTCAGACTTCTTGCAACTGCTCCATGGTTTTGAAGAGTCTGCATTTTATAACAAGACCACTGTCTGAAGAGGAAGGAAATTTCTCATTGGCGTACATTATCACAATTCACAAGGAGCTGCAAATGTTTGTAAAGCTACTAAGAGCTATTTATATGCCTCAGAATATTTACTGCATACACATTGATGAAAAGTCACCAAAAGATTACAAAGCTGCTGTACAAAACATTGTTAACTGCTTTGAAAATATTTTTATTTCCTCAAAAAGAGAAAATGTTGTTTATGCAGGATTTTCAAGATTACAAGCTGATATTAATTGCATGAGAGATCTAGTCCATTCCAAAGTTCAGTGGAATTATGTTATTAATTTATGTGGTCAAGATTATCCCATCAAAACAAACAAAGACATTATACAATACATCAAAAGCAAATGGAACGGTAAAAACATGACTCCTGGGGTAGTCCAACCACTTCACATGAAACACAGGACACAGGTTAGTTACAGAGAATATGTACATTCTGGAATGTCATACGTGTATCCAACAAAGAATATAAAAGCCAAACCACCCTATAATTTGACCATATATTTTGGTAGTGCCTATTACATACTCACTAAACAATTTGTAGAGTTTACATTGACTGATGCACGTGCAAAAGAATTGCTTGACTGGTCAAGAGACACATACAGTCCGGATGAACACTACTGGGTCACACTGAATCGTTTAAATGGTAAGATGTATCTTATTTATACTATGAATAATCCCCCAGAACAACAGTATTGGAAGGTCTATGATATGGAGATCTAGTGACTTCTGTTTTAGAGCCTAACAACACCCTTAAGGGGATGCATTGCATAGATAAAGTCATTTCTTCAGCCTTGATGCTGACCCTTCAACAGTCAGGTCTCGTGATGGTTTAAGAAAGGCTTGATTCCAGTAAAGTAATATTATGGTGCAGACGATTAGCTACAAGGCTAACAAAAATGTTGATTAAACAGAGTAAATATTTAGCTACATGAAAGCTCACGCTCTCAAAAATAATAATAAAAAGCAATAAAACTGAGAATTATATCTGTTCTTATGATTTAAATATCTGAATAAATACTTAACATGGCTACACTTAAAAAAAAAAAAAAATCTTCAGCCACTGAAAATTATCCCTGTAATAAACAGAAACAAATCTTATCAGAATCTTATGTTTTTAAAGATGCTCCAGGTGCTACACCAAACGCAGACTGGGAAGGAAACATACGAGCCATTAAATGGAAAGATCAAGAAGGAACCACACACAAAGGCTGCAAAGGTAAGGCAAATTTTGATCATGAAACTAGAATTTGATTAACTGACTAGCATTCACTGCAAATTACATATTATGCTTTAAACCACCCATTACGTGTGCCTCCACAGTCATGCATATTTTATTTTGAAAATATGAAATAAAACAGCAAGCAATTCTACTAAATTACTCCACTGTATCAAATCCAAAAATCTTCTGACATATTCTTGCCAAGATCATCACAGTATCCACACACTGACAACAATATTTTCAGGGACTTAAGGATTTGTAAGTTTCTGTACATTTGCTTATTTTCCTCTATTACATTAACCAGTGCATTAACTTGACTAGTCATTTTTCAGTGAAAAGAAGGGGATTTATTTGAAGAGCATGTTCATCAGATACTTCGGTCTATTTTAAAATGATTCAATTCAGCTTTCTGCTGCTTTCATATACCCTCAATTTGTCTTTGCAGGTCATTACATCAGAGACATTTGTGTTTATGGACTAGGGGATTTACAGTGGATCATTGAATCACCTCACCTATTTGCCAACAAATTTGAACCTGCAACATATCCACTTGTTATGGACTGTCTAGAGAGACGCTACAGGCTTAAGGTACTGCAGCAAGCAGAAGTCTCAATTGAAGATCACTGGCGTTTTCAGGAAAATAACTACTTTAATATGAAACTGAATGTTTGAGCTTAAGTAACATTTAACCAGTGCTCAAAATATTGAAAGAAATCATCAAGATTTTTAGCCATAGTCTTCACTCTGTGCATTATATCATAAGGATATGCACAATACTGTACTACTCTTCACCAGTGAAATAAGCAATCAATTTTACTTATTATAGTAAAATAAAGAACAACAACTGTTAATGGGTTAACTCTAAAAATAAAAAGGAAAACGACACGGTCAATATGTCAATAGTCCAGTAGCTCTATAATCTACTAAAGACAAGGGCGGAGTTCTTACTCCTCCTTTAAGTGAATTAATTAATTACTTCGGAAAAAAAAAACATGTTCCTTATTGCCTGCAGCTGCAGAAAGAACTAACTGGAATAAAAGTAATAAAGCAGAAGCACAGACTGGACATATTAAGAAGAAATATTAAGAGCACAAGTTAAAGTGGTGTCTACTGTATGCCTTATGAGTAGCTTATTTTGAATAACGAAATTTACACTACAATTTCAGAGCTGGTAGAGAAGCAAGTGACAGCCGGTTGCAAACACAGTCCATTTCACTGTTTAGGCTCATGGCCAGTTGCACCTCTAACTTAATTGTGTAGCATGGTAACATCACTCGTGCACTGCCTACGCTTTGCTCCTGATAAAAAGGGTGTCTGCAACAATAACAGTAATAGAGATCCTGCTAGGCAAATAGTCAAGATCCCCATTTTCTGGGTGTTTGCGTAAGTTTAGCACAAGAAAACACGAGAAATGTGCTGGGGAACAAATGGAAACTACACGAGAAGCCACCTTTCAACCCTAGCATACCTAGCCTGAGGAAAATGAACTTCCCTGAACCTGGCAACCATCTGCACAGATTGGAGATAACACCTAGCAGCAGCCAGGACACGTATCTCATTTTCCAGACCCTCTGTAGACCAAACACAGCACTAGCGCGCTGTAAGAAAGTGGCTTTCCACACAGTGCATGAGCAAAACCAGGGAACAGCACAGCAGTAAAAAAGAACTAGGATCTAGCCCTCTTCTAGGCAAGAGTTGGTCTTTCCTCTTCAGCACGCACAAATTAATCTCTTCAGTTGTACGACTGAAAAGACTGGGGCAACACGGGGAAACAAACAGGATACAGGCGGTGGCGTTTTCTGTAGCATGGCAACCCTTCCGGTGTCACTGGATTAGAAGTCTTACAAGATCACTCTTACACCCTTTCCCCAAACGCGGATGGAAAGCAAAGACAGAAAAAGACTAGGCGAAAGCTGAATTTTGCTAAGTCATTTCAAGCTACTGGTCTTCTCGTACTAACTTTTGGCAGGAGTACAGCCAAAAATTTTATTCCAGTAAATCCACATAAACTCCCATTTTTGGGGATGAACTTTGATGGGACCTAATAAAATGCATGTTGTTACATGATTAGAAACTACAAATTATAAAGAAATGTCTATGAGCAGTTTAGATGTAAACTTCAGTATGAACCTAGCATTCCCTTTCTACAGGAAAACTGACTTAAGAGATTAAGCATCTTTCCAAAAATCAAAACAAATCAGTGAATGAGTCAGCAGTAGAACCCAAAAAGTCTAGTTTTTTATTCCAAACTTATTCCCAGGTTCTTCAAACTGTAGTGTGTATTTTCCCACACAAGTTTCCTGGAAGCATAATTTATTTTAAATGAACTTTCACCTAAGGAAAGACCATCTGGTCCCTATTTATTTACAGAAATTCACAAACTCAGTCCAAAGGCCTGTACTCAGTCTCATGTATATTCTATGACTTATTTTGTAGCCAATTACTGCTGAATATGCTTTTTCACAGAGAAAAAAAAACCATGCAGCCCGTTCACACTGGGCTTGTTGAGAGTTCCTCTGAAAGCCATTACTGAAGCTAATGTGTTTCTAGCAGGTATTAACGATGACAATATTAGCAATGAATCTCTCCTTAAGCCACACTCAACCCACTGTAAGGCACTGCCAGCTTCCACTTTGTGTTGTTTTAATGTTCATCTTCTTATTCTCTTTGTAGCAAACCCAATATTTAGTTTACACCTTTTGTTGCTATCATACAGAACAATTGTTGCATATCTTTGTTCTGAATTGAATCAAAAGAATAAAGGCACAATAAAACCATGGGCTTGATTTGCAGAATCAGACTAGTCAAACTAGAAAAACCCTTCTTAAAATATAATTTAGGTATGACTTTACACCTGTCAATCCAGGAAATTCACTGGAGTGTGATCCGACTTCTTTACATAATTTTATATTTTAACAGAAAATGTCTACTGGTGCAAAAACTCCAAAAACTCCTAATTTAACCACCCCGTTCTCAAACATTAAGAAACAATATTTCTCTCATTAATCTAACTACCATAGTCTCATTAAATTCTTAAAGTATTACTTCCTTCTAGCAGCAGTTAGAGAAAGTCATAATGCAACTGTGATAGCTGACCAGAGCATTAAATATACTTCAAACTTTTAAACCTTTAATCACTTTTTTTTTTTTAAACAGGTAGATTACTCAAAACTCTTAGATCTTAGCAACCTATGTTTACTAACTTTTGATAACTGCTGATCTAAGAGCATATAGTGTCAACGTGACCTTGTTCAAGGAAACAATTTGCCCTATAACATATTGTAAACGCACAAACTCTGCATCTGTAAGATGCATGCATAGTTTCTGTTTCAGAAAACCTGAGGCACACGTACAAGAGTTCTATATCTAAGTTAAACCTTTGAGTATGTGTTTTGTATAGCACAAAGTATTAGCCTGTTGAATTTGAAAACATTTCTAAAATAAATTTGAAAGATATGCAAGAGATCACATTTTAAAAAGCAGGTAAAAAAGGCAGGGTTCATGATGATCGTAAGCAAGGTATTAATTGTATGAACTACAGATTAGAAAAGAACCATAACAGGCTTGGAAATTGAATTTGCAAATCACTACTGTTTAAAGCACTAAATCAATGAAACTGAAGAGTACTGCCTAATGGACATATGAATTACTACAGCAACATCACAATTGTATTGACTACAACAGTCTGTAGTCAACTACAGCCTAACGCCTGTTAGCACTAGCACAAAGCTTGACTTGGTCAAGATACCATCAAACGCATAAAAGAGATTAGAAACTTTCTTGCTGTTCTTTTTAACTTTAGTACTCTACTGAAGAATTAAAAATTAAAATTAAAAACAACAGTAGGTAAAAACTTTCCATTTACAAGTGCAAATTTTAAAAGGAGAGCCTCCATTTCACATACAATTCTTCCCAAAGATCAGCAAACAGGAAGCAGGGGACAGCAGAAAGATGGCTGTTCCTCAGGGCTTCCTGCTATGGAAGCATCTTGTGACACAAAGCAAAGTCGTTTCTCTTCCTGCCTACTGAAGTCATATCCTGTACATTTCAGCTTATGGCTTCCCACTGGCAGTTTCAATTTTCCCCCTTCGCTGTACAAAACTTCAAACACATAGCTCAAGCAAACACATTTCCATGTAAAAAGATACTGTAAGTTTTATTTGTGTGCATAAGTTGCTCTGTTTTAGACGAAGCCCCTTTTCAACCCTTTTTAGTGGAAATGGCTAGAATGTTCAAAATTTGCACCCGACCCTTCATCTAATGAGCTCTCTCCTCAGTATAAACCACAACAAAAATTCTCACTGCTCTTCCAAAAATTTTTGGCCAGGAAGAGTTTTAGCAAGATAGTTCAGAACATTTACTACTGAGGTCATAAAAGACAATCTCACTCTCTTTCAACACTGCTACTCAGACTCTGACTAATCATTTGCCCTAGAGCGCTCACATTTTTATACTATTTTTAATTCGGATGCTCCAGTATATTGCAACTTGGATGCGAAATCCTCACACATCAGTTAGAGTTTCTTCACTAGACGTCCTCCAACCATGACAATTCATCCTACCTTTTTGCATCTTTGCCTTGCACCAATATAGTCTTCTTAACATTTCCAGTAAGAGTAGATAAATACATACGTTTAATATTGCCAGCTCTTCGTGTAAACTTTCTCTCAAGAAAAAAGAAATGTCTTTTTTTTTCAGAGAATTCAAACTGATCCACCTTCCATGTACAGAGACCCTAACCCTACAAAGCCTTTCAGGTCTAGCCCAACAGTAAGCATGACCGAGATAAGTTGAGGGAGGCTGAATTCTTATCTCAGGTTTTTCCCATTTGCTTGAGTTAGTCCAAATCTCAATAGCTATTCCATTTTTCTGAACGGATTGCTCTTTTCCTTGTATGAGCTGATGAGCTGCCCAAGGGGGAGAAAAAAAAAAAAAAGAAGAAAAATGAGCAGTGAGACAACTGTGGGAATTTCCACAGAGTGGTGAGCATTCCTATGAGCCAAGCCAGGAGGCGGGAAAAGAGGTAACCCCCTCCTGCTCTGACCAGAGGAAAATCACTTCCTATAGCTTTATGAAGCACAACGCTTTGTGATGTGTATTTTGTAGCATGTAAATATATGCCAATTACCTAGTTTGGATGATCTAGTTCAAAGTATATGAGTATGAAGGTGAGGACTGCAGAAGTATTGTTTGGGCTGCCGGATATCTGTGTTCTGTAGTGAATGTTTTTTAATGCATCATTAGAGCATCTGTTTGACAAAGTCCTTTGGGAAACCATCACTGTTTACAAATTAGCAGACTAACAGGACTGCTCTGCTCTGTAAGCTCATAGATTAAGGCATAGAATAGTTTTTTTTGAATGCACTTTTTTGGATTTTACAGGAGTGGGAAAAGAATTGCCATACAGTTCCCAGACTGACAGTTCCCAGCATGGTATATCCATGCTATATACCTTGTCCCCTGGGATAAAGAGAAAATACAGCTTCCACTAACTGAAAAAGAAAGACTGGATACTAAGAATACACAAGAGAAAACAAGATTATTCTTCTTGAACTACTTTCATGTGTAACTCTCCAAAGCTACTTCCTGACGAATCCTTATCATACGCAGATGGGGCAGTGGCTTACAAAGCAAGGCATCTGGGCGTATACAGACAGACCAAAAAGTTGGCAAGGCCATGAAAGAAAAAGTTGTGGCCCACATGGATTCCATAGGTTGGATTTTGGTTCAGAAAGCCTGTTATCACCCTTAAAATAGCAGTTAGCACAAGCCCAGATAATGTATGTGCCAATTTATAACATGCAAACATTCAGTACTTCAGAAGATTTTTGCGCTTTGAAAGAACATGTAAAAAAGGATTTTATCTGTTAATAAGAAATTCCTAATCATAGAATATATACAATACACACATTTTCATTTTTTGCATAAAGACAGCATGTGCTGGGGGAACGCAGCAAAGCAGTGCTTTGGATAAAAAAGGTAGCTGCTAAAAAAGACAGAAACCAGCTCCCCATGATCCTGTTTTGAAAAATTCTATTTCCCCTTCTTGATTATGAATATAGAATGAGAATTACTCTTTAATCTTAATCAAAGAGAATGCAGACTAAAACATTATATGCTCACAGAGCAATAATCTCCAACATGCTCAGGTCACCAGCATAAATTTTCTTGAAAATTAAAAATACATGTTTTTTGCAAGATACCAAAAAATAGTATTTTTTCAAAGCTTGACTCAGTAGAGCTAGCTAATATAATCTGCTTCTTAATCTTGAATTTTTGAAATTTTGGCTAGAGACATCTATATTGCATATCATTGACACTGTACTGTAGAATGTATAATTCTAGATGTTGAAAATGCTTTAAAAACCTTAATGTATGATGTCTAGCAACTATAGGAAGTCACATAACTTTCTGAATAAAAAAATAAGTAACAAAAATCATATTAAAGCACTGTCTTGTTCTCTGCGCTGACAACTCTGTTACGCTTTAACTAAAGGGAAAAGTGCAAAGGACAGGGAGTCGAGATTCTGTCTCAGAGTTGTCTAACTAGTGCTAATTTCAGACAGAACCAGCAGAAAACTTATTAACTGCTGACAGAAGTTAAAATATAGGCATAAGGATACTTAGCATGATACGGAAACGGGTAAAAGTCCTTTTTAGGGCATAAGGCATACCGCTGACACTGCTGAAGTAGCTGGGTGACTCAGGTACGGCACTAACAGGCATAACTAACAGCTGTCACACTTTGTTTCCTTGTACTTCTACCCTAAAGAGCGAGCATGAAGTCCCAGTCTCACTTTATTGTAGCCCAGCAAGATTTCAAGATAGAGATATTTCTGTGCACTAACCCAGGCAGTGTTAGTCAAACCCCACAGAAGTCCATTTTCTAGGACCAGTCCCTGAAATCCTGCTGCGCATAGAAAATTATCTGTTGCTGGAAGCAATAGTCCAGAAAGAATGTGCTTCCAGAGAGGTATTTGCCTTTGTGCAAAGTCCAATAACAAAAGAATAGATTACATTATTCCTATTTAAATATTTCTAGAAGCATCTCTCTGAATATTGTGAAGAATTCATACGCTCATACAAATGCTTGCATTCAAATATGAGATTGTGATCAACAGTTTCTGATTACTAAAAAAAACCCCAGAAAACATAAAGAAATCATTTTTTAAAAAATTACTACACTGGACAAACTGTGACTAAAACGTCTAATATCTATATTTACTAATCACACAACATCCATCTATCAACAGCAAAGTTAGAAACAAACAAAAACCTCACTACAACTAAAGTGGTATATGGCAACAGGAAAGCAGAGAGCTGTTACCAGGACTAAACCAGCCTTGAATAGTAATATGAGACTAAACTTAATTAACAACATTCCACATCATCTGCAACAATTTACCAAGAAAACATTTGTTTCACAGTTCTTTTTTGTTTAGTACAAATACAACGTACACGGTATCAAATACCAGGATGTTTGCTGAAAAGTAACTCCCCTTATAAGTGGCAACCATAGTCACCATAGTCAAATATCACTGACTACAAAAGTAGTGATGTGAAAAAGAATATTTGCAACTTACATCATTGCCCCTAGCTAAAGAAATCTATGAGATCCAATTAGCACCATAAAATGAAATGCAGTCAATATTGTCTACAGTAATCCATATACCTCTCAAAAATAGGAAGAGCTGCTCCCCAAAAGGCAATGGCAAACTTCCTTTAAAAATATACGGACCAAAACATAACTTGAAAGTGTAATCAGTTCCAACACAAAGCAGACAGTGATCAGCACAAACCAGAAGTATTCAGTAATAAAAACAATTGCTCCAAAGCCTTTAAACTGAAATTAATGATTAAACCTTTGAAAAATAGAACAAAAAGTGTTAATTTGAAAGTAGTTATTGTAAAATCAAACTCTCTTGAGAACAAAAATGTTTATTGTGACAGTTATTTATTTATTATTAAATTATTCATTTATCATCATTATTAGTCAATTATTAATTATTTACAAACACGTTTCCATTATGCAAGGCCATACATACAGAATTATTTCGGGCCACCAGAAAATAGAACTTTACGAGTTTTATTTCAATCTGGATATTCAGATTAAGGAAAAAAATAACACTTTAAAATAAAATAGGAGGTGTGAACGCAATTGTATGTATTTATCACTTAGGGTCATATGTGACCTTACTGTTACTAAATCTGAAGAAAAACTTACCCGGTGGCAAACTTCTGTTTTAATTTCTTTGAGTGCACGTTCAGAGAATACACAGCCACAGTTCCGCAAGAAGCAAAACCTTTAAAGAAAAGAAGACAAGTCATACAGTTATCTTAAGAAATTTTATGTATCTACAATATAGATCTGCAGTGCTGATTTAACATGAAACTAATATTACAATAGGCTAATAGTAAACAGCTAACTTTCACTTTAGACATTCTTATGGCTAACCAAGATATCAGCACCTTAAATACATTAAATGACAATATGTATTTTGTTATCTCATTCTATGTATATGACAATCTCCTAAAGGGATCTTAGAAAAAAGAATTCTCTTGAGATGTTTTCACACATTTGCTACTGAACTACGTAGGTTCCCCGTGAATCCTCATAGCGTGGTTACCTACTGCTTACTGCCCTAATGAGCGACAGACCATCTCCACCATGGCTCTTACTGTGTCTGATCATAGAACTTCACTAAATATTAATTTTTGGAAGTTGATAAACGATAAGCAGATTAAAAACTGCCTTAAAAAGATCAAAATATTGAATTTAGAGGTTTGACTACAACTAATTCTGTATAAATTAATAACCGGTTTGATATAAAAATAGGTGATAATTGTTTTGCTTTCTATAAAGTTATACCTTTTAAATGGTTCCACCATTTAAACATATACCATAGCTGTAGATATTACTAATGACTAAATGAGCAAGACAGAGAAAGGAAGCTTTTCAACACAGTTGTGGTGGTATTGAGTGCTGGTGTACATCCTTACGCCTATATCTGGACAATAAATTAAATATCCAAAGAAAAGAAAGGGAAAAGAGAAAAAGAAACATGTGGTGAAACAATTCACAATTCCAAGTACCATTTACAGGCTTGGGGATACAACTATCTCTTCAAATACAAAACAGAGCAAAATATTTTTCTAGAGTTTTTAAGCATTTACCTTTTCCCCTCCTCTAGTGTAACGTCTGCCGTTATTAAAAAGAAAGGTGCCAGAGGAAAGCTGAGCACTTAAGCATTCTTGTCTGATAATTTTGAAAAGTAACATGATACTCTGTTCATCCCCTTTAAGTACAGGGACGAAGAGACTTCACGCCTGAGCTGAAATATTTCAAGGGTTGCTTCACAAATTTGCCAGTACTCTACTTCCCTGCAATCAGTCACACTGCCATGCAGCGCTCCACGTGCGTTCTGCCACACTTTAAGCCTGCTGGTTTCACTTGCTCTCAGACTCCAGCCCTCTAGTGAAGCTGTAACGAGTGACCCTAGCCAATGACCTGCTCCCCGAGGTCTGTCCTGTCTACATAAAAGATTCATTCAAGAAAATCTAAAGCAATTAAGCACGTGGTTCCTGTCATCTTCCTTTCCTTTTCACACCAAATTCTTTGATGAGAGCTACCGTTACTCCCCTCTTCTTCAACCTCATTTCAGTCCATCATCCTCCTCTGATTAAAAAAATTAAGAGGGCTTTGGTGAAAGTGGTTTCACTCTTCAGGGTGTCTCTTTAATTCCATTTGAATATCTACAGACTAACTGACCACTGAAGGAAGAAACACTTGTCAACTATCAAGTGTGAACCTGACCTCCCTTACCCACTAGGGTTAACGCAGAAAAAGAAATTGCTCATTTACCCAAACTAGGATGCAAGGGAAGCATCCTTCCTCAGCCCAGTAAAAAACAGATACTAGCACAATGTTAGAATAGATACACAGTCCATCTCCATTCTGATCCTAACATAAGGACAGGTGGGAATACCAGATCTCAGGCAAAGGAAGGTCTCATCCAACCTTCCTCCACTTGTTCACACAAACCTCCCATAGCTTGACCTTCAAACAACTGTACACCACTTTTCTCTGCAAACATTGCCCTCTGCTCCTTTCATTTATATATATAATCTGATTTGGGAAAAGGAGTACATTTCCTCTCTCCCTCTTGAACTGGGAGTGAAAAAAGGACAGATATTTTTTTCTTGATTTTTTTCTGAACTCCCTTCTCCTGACAGGAAGGCAAAGATTCTCCAAAAAGGCTGGGTAAGTACATGAGTTTCTACGTTATTGATTTAAATACTCCATACTCAGTGCTGAATAACTCATTTTTGAAAACTAAATCCAGAAACATAAATACTGACCTATGTCTTCCGTTCATTTCCAAACCCACCACAGGGCATATAAAGCGTGCACACTGGATGTCATCATATTTATCACCTTTTATACTCTCTTTGTCACCACTCCAAGCTGGATTATCTGCAAGGTTTAGCTCTGTAACATTCTGCAAGATACAAATGCAAACCTTAAGTTGTTTACTGATGATTTCTGAACCATCACATTTCTGAAGATACTTTTTTCTTAGTGGTTTACTGTATTACAGCTTTTTTTTGATAGCAGACTTATAAATGTGTTGTTTCTAGTTACTTAAAAGGTTTTTTCTTTCTGTTCTGTTAGAGATTATTTAATACAGGTTCAACAACAGAGAATGTTTGTATATTTACAAATACGTAACTGCACATTTGAAAGACATTTGAAAATACATGTTTGAGTTCTACTTCTGACTGCCACCATGGTAAATGATCAACTTGCATTCAGAAAGAAAATTTACTAGTTTGCTCAACGTTAATTAGACTCTTTCCTGATTCAAACCGTCAATGCCTCACTTTTATTTACTCAAAAAAAAAAACCCCTCATTATGTCCATGACACAGTGCATTTTCCACACTTGTGTCTTCAGAGCAAAACCAAATAACTAAAATCTACTAGCACAAACTTTGCCGCCCAGAAAATTAAGAAAGCTATGCCAAGATACTGTCTGTGGTTACTCCTGCCGTACGGTATATACAGCAGGCAGCTTTCAGCCTATCACGTTTGCTCCTCTAGCACTGGAAAGCAAACACATCCTGCATGTTAATTTAAAAAAGAGATACTGGATTTAATACTGTTTTACAACTGTATTTTTTAAATTTTAGTACAAACTGAAAACACAAACTGAATTATCATAGGATGTTTTAACTTTTATGTTGCTCTTTAAAATCAGACACAACCTTTTTACCTTAATGCTCCTGATATGCGACGCAGCTTCCACAAGAGCTTTATCAGATGACTTGTCCAACAGAAACTCAATGACGGCATCTTTATTATACATCCTACAACAATAAATTTGTAGAAATAATATTTGATTCCTGTAACATTCTTTTATTTAGCAATTGGTATCTTTTAGCAAGGAACTCTACATGGAAACATTCGTACCTGCCTAGCTCACAGGCTACAATGGGTCGACATAATTTCTCCTGACTCAGAGTACAGTAGTACCATCGTGCCACCAATTCGGCAATTTTGTCAACCTGAAAAAAAGATTTTTGATTTTGAAATAATTTTTTGTTATGCAAATTATTTCAATATAAATCCGAATAATAACTGAAGTATTAATCAAATCCCCAGCCACCTCACCAATCCTACTTTCCGCATTCAAAGGTATTCCACAAAATATTTATCGAAAACCTTATCGTGCAAGTCAAACTCAGTTTCAAGGATCCACCTCTGTATATAACTCTACCAAATACCTTTCTGCGTCTGACCTAGGACCTATCTTCCTCACTCTAACTCACTTTTCTTACTCTTTGCCCTTGCTGTCCTCTTCTCTTTTTTTTTTTTTGGCCCATCATATGTTCTCCAGTACCCTCTTCTCCTTTGTCTTACTCTCGATCCTACATCTCAGATCTGCTAGGGCTAGTTACCAGTACTACTCATGGTTTATGTATGTTTACATAAACAGGTCGGGCTTTTCCGGGGATGTCAGGATGTCACCTGAAGTTCCAGCATGAAAAGGCCAAAGCTGTATGGCTCATTACGCCATAAATGAAAGGAAAAATTGAAAGCTACTGAATTGTCCCGTGTGGCAGTACAGCCGCAGTGGGGTGTGGGGATGAAAGGCATTTTATTTATTTATTTTACATCAATAAACGCGAACTCGCACGAGTTTTTTTTCGCCTCCTCAGTGATTTTTTCCCCCTGAACTTCACCTCCTACAGAGAGCTCTG